AAATGATACTCAGATGTATTTGTCATTACAAAAGCTGTTTATTTCAGATAAATGTTGGTATGAATCTTTTTAATCATCAAAGAATCTTGAAAAAAAAACTAGTCAAATATCAATAAATAATGATGATAAAAATGATAATTGGACTGTTTTTAGGCTACTGTGCTTTAGTTTGGATCAATTGCAAGTTTGGTGAGCAGAAGATTTCTTTAAAAAGTTAGGTATGGTGTTTCGTTCCCCCCACAAAAAAGTAAGTGTTATTGTTTAAAAAAATGTGAATTTATGCACACTGACTATATTGTATATGCTTGGTAGATGATGAATATTGAAGTGTATTGTTTTATTTAACTAAACCCAACAAAAAGCTTACCCAGCCCTTCCCTGATTGCGTCATTCACAGACAGGTGAACAATGTGTAGGTGAGATTTGTATAAAAAGGACTATTTTAAAGAGCCCATATTATGGGTTTTTGAAAATTCCCCTCCATGTAGTGTGTAACACAGCTCTAAGTGAAGTGAAGTATCCAGCTAAGGCTTAAATCTGTAAGAATACAGTGTTTAAAACTGTTGATTCATCTATAAAAGAGTCGAATCATAGTGCTTCAAACGAGTCGCCTTGATACCGACTCATTAGGTGTTTCGCCATGACGTACGAACGAAACAAAGTTTTTCACGTGCACGCGCAAACCCGGGAGATTTCAAACCTGAGGCCCCGCCCTCTGACGCAGTAACCCAGGCACACACACACACACACACACACCCACAAACACACGCACACCCACAAACACACGCACACAAACATGCCGGTCGATTGAAGTCACACTGCAGATGGATATATTGAGTCTCTACCCAAACATGAAACATCAGCATTATAACCAAGCAGTTGGAAACTTCTGGAAGCTACATGCTACAAAGAATACTTCATCTGAGTTTGTTAAAGGAAGGATCAGTAAAGAGTAACTGATGGACGTCAGGATGGGTTTCTTCCTACATTTCTCAAGTGTAAGTACATGCGGTTAAAGTTGCCTCGTTGACTCTAGCTTGCAAATGTATTTAGTTGTGATTTGTTACTTGTAACCGCTTGTACTGTATCAGGTTAACTGGATATATTATCTTATCGCGTGCAAAGTCACGTTAAAAACGCGACGCGTGCTGTTTGTTTATGGAGCTCCGTGCTAGAGTTCTGCTCCCGCGATTTATTCGGAAATGTATTCCCGCGCCGCAGAAATCTGGCGCGGGGAGAGAGAGGGAGAGAGAGAGAGAGAGAGAGCGAGAGAGAGAGCGAACGAACGAACGAGCTTTGTGTACTTTGTGCTTTGTGCAGCTTGGCTGTCTGGACTGTATACTGGGTGATTTTTGGTTGTGTTCTCCGCTCTAGCGGGACCGGGCGCGGCGGGCAGAAAACGGAGCGGGTTCTCAGGCTAAAACCTGGCGGGTGCGGGCTGAAGCGGGAGCGTTGTCATCCGGAGGTGTGTGTGTGTTTGTGTGTGTGTGTGGTATGGCGAGTACACGACTGTCTCCTTCGTTCGGTTATCCGTGGCACTATCCACTCGCCATAGTGTGGCAGCTAAAGTCCACGCCTACACTATCGAGCGTGTATGAACTGTGATTACTTTTTAAATTGCTGATTAGCTATTGGCCATTTCCCTCTCTGACTGAAGGCAGTCGACCAATCGCGACAGACTGTCATCGGCCCAATCAGCGCAGATTAGCTTCGCGCTAAGGAGGGGTTTGGGAACAAATGAATCACTGGACGATTCATACAGGAGTCGCTGGGATAATTAGATAAAAATAAATGCAGATTATAAGACCATGAAAGTGTTTTTTGACCTTGCATGCATATTAGACTGTTGTTGGAGACCCTTACAACCAAGATATGACCTTATTTCATGTATAATATGGGCTCTTTAAGACGTTGCCCAAGGAGCCCCGAAGGACGAAGCCCAGGCACTGAGTCATCCTACAGTGCCAGAAGAGGATCAAGGGCACGTATGTATATATTGTATATAGTTCAAGAATATGTTTACAATACATCAATACATTTCATTCGAGTTTTCATCATTGCTGGATGTTTTGCTGATCGTCAGTGCTGGTGATATTCGGCTCTTGGGTTGTTGGGTTCTTTTGGATGGTTTGCTGGATGTTGGCAGGTGTTTGGCAAGGTTTCCTAGGCGGTGTCTTGCTAGTTGTTGGTCTCCTCTTAGTGGTTTTTGGGACATTAGTGGTTTGTTAGTGTTGGCTGTTGGGTTAGGGTAGGTTAGGGTCCCTCACATGGTTTGCAGCTTGACGTGCTGTGAGGGCTTGTGTGCATCAGTGATGCTGAGAGCTTTGCTACTGGTATTTCACAGCTACCAGTAGGGTCACCCATAGTGGACAAGTCTCAGCTGAGATGCCCGACCAAGAAAAACCACCTGATTCTGAACAGCAGTACATTGGCCTGATGCTCCAAACAGAAGATGTCACCTAAATGTTTGGAAGAATCTTCAAAACTACAGTTTATATGGAGTTGCAGATGGACCAATGCCAGCTACTGTTAGCTATTCTCTGGAAATATATAACACACACACACACACATACAAAAATAAATAAAATTAAATCTTGCAGACATTAAGAACTAAATATTTATTTAATTCATTTATTCATTTTCTTTTTGGCTTAATCCCTTTATTAATCTGGGGTCGCCACAGTGGAATGAACCGCCAACTTATCCAGCACGTTTTTACACTGCAGATGCCACCCATCTCTGGAAAATATCCACTTACACTCATTTACACTCATACACTACGGACAATTTAGCCAACCCAATTCACCTGTATCGCATGTCTTTGGACTGTGGGGAAAACCGGGGCACCCGGAGGAAACCCACGCAAACTAAGAGAAAACATGAAAACTACAGCACTACCTACTGCGCCACTGTGATGCCAATATTTATTTGTAAAATATTTATGAATTACCTTAATTTAAAGAATATTTAATTTTTGTTTTGAAAAAACACTTTTTAATGTCTTGATATGGGTGGTTCTACTTTCAATAAAACACATGAATACAATTATTAATGATTTATTCAATAAAATATGTAATACTTATGGCACTGGGGAATAATCAAATTAGGTGAAAACATAAAAGTTATTATTGGTTATCCTGAATTTAAATAAAATTATTGCAAAAATGTTTAATGATGTAAAGTTGACTTAGAAATTACAGCCAAAAGAATTCAATTGATTATTGTGCTAAATGTGAAAAGAAGCAAGTAAAGATTTAAAGAAAAAAATACAAAGCAATTTATACTGATTTAAATGGCACAAAAGTGTGTAAATTATTGTGTGTGTGTGTGTGTGTGTGTGCGTGTGTGTGTGTGTGTGTGTGTGTGTGTGTGTGTGTGTGTGTGTGTGTGTGTGTGTGTGTGTGTTTGTGTGTATGTGTGTGTGAACTATCCCTTTATTTCAAAGAATATGAATATATTGTATTTTATTGCATTTTAATATGAAGAATAATCCTTAAAATAAGAATGTAAAACTTCCAGTAGGTGGTAGTAATGTCTAATGAGTGAGACGGTTCCTTAAAATGAATTACAACAAAGAAGTATAAACCGCTGTCTGGACTGTTTAAATTAGACCATAAAAAATAACTTAAGCGGGCTAAAAATATTTAAATATAGAAATGTTACCAATTACTCTTCTCATTAACAATGATATTTTATCTAAGCTACTCTGAAACAGTTAATATGTAACTTTAATTTTATTTATATTAATATTTTATTTAACAAACCAGTTTGTGTTTTGGCGCTGAAACATATATGACCTTGTTTTTAAGCAGTTCACATTAAATGTTATTCATACATTCATTCGTCTTATTCCCTTTATTAAACAGGGGTTGCCACAGTGGAATGAACTGCCAACTTATCCAGTATATGTTTTACACAGCAGATGCCCTTCCAGCTGCAACCCAGTACTGGGAAACACTCTTACACTCTTGCATTCACGCACAACGACCAATTTAGCTTATTCAATTAACTTATAGTATATTTCTTTAGACACCCAGAGGAAGCCCATGCAAATATAGAGAAATTATGCAAACTCCTCACAAAAATCCGCCCATCCGCATTACAACTGTGCTAGTGGGTGATTTGTTTTGCTCCGTGCAAAATAGGGATTTAATTAATGATCCACTCTAACTCTTTTACCACAAACCCCTGTTATGTATTTGCTACATTTTCAATATAAGCTATTATTTTAAAGAATATGTCGTGAGCGTATGATATTTCCTCAGTGCTGATGTGCTTTAATTTTCACAGCGAGTGTAGTGGAGGGAGTGTCTTAATATCTCAAACTGGCCACAATTTTGTTTAACCTGCTTCAAACTGGTAGAAAATTATACATTTAAGTTACGCTTAGGTCCCCCTGAAGGCTTGCACAGGCCTGGGGTGCTTTGCTCAGTGAGCAATAACTGTCCTAAAATGAGTTCTGTGATCAGTTTCAATCCACTATATATGTAACTGATGAAATATGCTTTAAAATGTCTCTTTTAGTTAATTTAGGATAACTTCAAATAAAACTAAGAGACTTCAAAATGTACGACATGCAATAGACATACATGATATTATCAGACATTTGAGTTTAGGTTAAATAAAAATACAAATGTACTAAAACTTTTATTTGATAAAATCATATTGACCAACTCAATTGCATTTAATTGTGTATTTTTTTAAGTTTGTGCTAAACAAATTTATTGGATCGAAATCCTGCCCTCAATTAAATTGAGTTCATCCAATAAGTTATTTTTTTGAGTGTAGGATTTCTACAAGAGTTTTGCACTTTTCCTGTATTTCTGCAGGATTACATGTTACCTGGAGAAGTCTTACAAGAAAATAGTTAAAAATCTGTGGGAAATATGTAGGCGTGTGATGTACAAAATGAGGAAAGTGGTTGCCCTGAAAAAATGTAAGTAATGTTTACCTATAGACTTAAGTGAGCTATAAGAAAAGAGTTGTTTTAGCAATTGTTCCAGTTTGCAATGCAATAGATTCTTTTATTAACGTTTCTCTCAAAATACATCAGAATACAAGTGCAGTAAAAAGCAAGTTTAAAACAGTTTGCCTTCAAGTTTAGCAGGTTTCCGACTTATTTCTGAGAAAATAGCATTGCCTAACTTTGCAACAGCTAATCTAATCAGGAAGGGTTGCACAAACATGGTACAGGTTTAATTTAGTTTTGGTGATTATTTACATCAGGCAGTGTTGCAGGTTATATTCAGTCTATGACCACCGTGGCGTAGACAGTTTCTGAATCAAACTTCACTGCAGGAGCAGAGTTTTCCCCAGCTCCTGAATGATTTACGGTGGCATACAACAGCTCATCTTCCACTATCTGTGGGAAAGGATGTAAAGGTTTTCTATCAATCTACAACTTATTTAATTTTCTTTCTTTTTTTAAACATAACAGAATTAGAATAATTCATCCATAGGCCTACCTGTCCTTCAGCAGAACCAGAATTTGCACCTTGATTGTCTAAAAAGAAAGAAAAATTATGTGAGAAAATAATTTGCTGGAGAACAAGATAACAAGACACTCTGAATTCCTCCTCACTGTTGGACAGCTGATGAGCCTCTACAGGCTTACACACACAGCTACAGATAGACAATTATAACCTAGCCCCGCATCCCATGCCTTCGTATGTTTATCAGCCCCGGTGTGGGTTGGTAGTGGGTCTGTGACCAGCGCTCTCTAGTGACAGGACAAAATGTCTGTTACATCTGACTATGCCCTGTTACTATCCCCTGTTGCAATATTATGCCTGTCTATGTGTTTATGTGCTTGTTGCTGGGACTTTTCCCCCCTGATCTCACACTGCCCTTCAAGGATGGCCTGAGAGGGGATTTTTTTCGCCTACCTCTTCTCTAAATTATCTTATTTCCTCTTTCTAAAAGCTACCTCTCGTCTGACCTGTCTTCCACTGAAATGTGTGATGTTTGTGTATGGTCCGTGGGGTCCAATTTCGCTACATGTAAAAGTGTATATGACAAATAAAGGCTTTTCATTATCATCATCATCATGTTTGCACAAAATGTAAAAGCCTTTCTGCAAATAAAATAAACAAACTCACCGTTGTCCATTTCTTGAGCTCTGTAAAATCAAAGGATAACATTTATCAAATCACCGTTTACAAAATATTTAATCAGAGTTCTGTATATAATAAAACACACACTAACCTAGCTGAATAAAGTTTTTGCCCATACCCTAAAAAACAAGTGAATAAAATTGTGAATTAAAATTTTATTGAACATACCAGGCTGTAAATAAAAAATAGCTGTCACAGAGGTGGTACCTTTTCAAAAGATACACATTTGTACTTAAAGGGTCAATATTGGTACCTTAACATTTCAAAAGTTTTTTTTTTTTTTTTTTAGATTTTAGGAAATAATATGTACCCTTGAAGTATTAATAAGGACCCTTTAGTTAGAAATGTGTATCCTTTGAATAGGTACCACCCCAATGATAGATCTCGAACCATTATTTCTGCAGCCGATTCAAATATTATCACTCGGTTGAATGGGCTTAATCAGTGGTTATCAGCTGATAGGTATGGGCCAGTAGGGGCCTTTTGCGTCTATTTGTATAGGCGCAGAAGGCTGTTATCATCCATCCACATGGTTGATCAGCTATAGATCACATACAGCTGCAGATGGAAGTTAACAAGAATTATTTATAATATTTATTAAACTTCCTATTACTTGTATTTTATTAACATCTTTCCCCACCCCAACCCTAAACCCCAACCATCACAGTAATGTAAAAGCAGATCTGGATCTGGAGCCTTCTTTATTAGTATAGCTGATTAACCATGTGGGTGGATGATATACCAACAATAGGCGCAGAAGGCTCCTACTGGCCCATATCTATCAGCTGATAACCCCTGAAAATGGCCATTCAGTCTAGTGATAACATTAGAAGCGGGTGATTTCTGAGAGTGTAGATGAATTCCAGACTGGTGTATATGAACACATTTAAACCCACACCTAAAATATTTGGATTAAAATCACCAGTGGGCACAAATATGACCAAAAATACATAGAAATTAAAAATACCTGTCATTTGTGGTTTCTTACCTTGATTTGTGGTTATATATATTATAGATATGAAGATAATGAGGAAAGAGAGCAGAATCAAAATCCCAGATATTACCATAATGGCAAGAATTCTTTTACCAGAAAGAACTAAAAACGAAAACAAAGGAAGAAAGTTAACAAATACAAATCTGTCCTCTATATCTAGACTAGTGTTTAATTGTGGATTAACTTGTCATTTACATATTCTCCACACTGAAATGGTGACATTTTGGCTCATGTTGTTATCAGGTTTGCTTGTACACTGGACGGTAACAGTTGTTTGGAGCTCCTCAGTTTTTCCCTGCAGTTTTTCTCCCCTGACTGTGAATTTACAGCAGTCACCAGAGGAGTTTTGTTGACCAATGTCTCTTGAATCAGCAAAGAAAAGGCAGTGTGATATAGTCTGATTATGGTTACAGCAGGTCAGATCCGTCCAGTCACTGAGAGTCAACACCTCAGCACTAACCGATAAATCTGAGTGAATGAGAGATTGAATAATTTTATAAACAAATAATCTCATGTAATTAGTTTATTTATATAGCACATTTTTTACAACACAAAGTGCTAAACACAATTAATAATGAAAATAACACATCCTACAGCACATATATAACAAATAAAACATATAAGACAACCCCATCAACATTTAAAAGGCTCAATTCCTAAGGAACAAAGATGCAGTTTTAAAAGGTTTTTAAAAACAGATATAGTTGGAGCGTGTCTAATGTGCTTTGTATGTACATGTGGATCTGATAAATAAGATGGTGCCAAAAATTAAAGGATTCATAAACTAAATTGAATAATCTAAAATCAATCCATGACCTAACAGGCAGCCAACCTAGAGAGAAAAGAACTGGAAATATGTCCTGCAGCCGCATTTTGGACTAATTGCAGTCTATTCAGGGCATTTTGATTGATACCCACATAAAGTACAAAGAGTGTAATAGTGATTGAACTAATTGTGGTTTTATATATTGTGAAAAATGCTTGTCCAGTTTATATCAGTGTACACCCTCTTTAGAAATTAACATTTGCATCCATCAATGTGGATAATATTGCTGTGTTTACAAAACAATTTTATTAGAAGGTAATATTTATTACACGAGAGTGTGGTCACCTAATATCTTTAGGATAAAAATACATCTTAATTCAAATGAGCTGTTGCCATAAAATAATGAAATTACATTTTGTGTGAACTGATTTGGTTTATTACACTCTAAAAAATCTTTCTGTCTTCATTTTTTGTCAAATCAAAGTAACTTAAATCAGTCAAACTGACTAAAATATGTTGTTAAACTTTGAATATCTACAGAAGATTTTGTAAAAACTGATTGCCTTATTGATTTAAATTAAAGAAGTATAAAAACATTCTTGTCATGATGTTTTGTAATTCATTTTTTTACAGTGTACAATTTCTTTTTTCTACTGGTACATACACTGAGGTGTTCTCATTTTTTTGGACAGTGATATTAAATAGTTTTATTACAATACACTCAAAACATACTTTTGCTGCTTGATCAAACTACTTATTTAATATGTTTTTTGGGGGGGGGAAACTCAATTGTTTTATGTTCAATCCACTTAAATTTGTAAAAACAAAAACAATTAAATTAACTTAATAACTTTGTATTGGGACAGCATGAAGGAATTGTGTGGAACCCAAGGTTTTTTTTACAGTACATTTTTTGTTTTTACATTGTAAAAACAATTGCTGTGTTTAACACAATTTAATTATGTTGTCCCAACACAAATAGATTACGGTACCTTACAAACTTACAAATCTAAGTGTATTGAACATTAAACAATTAAGTTGTCCTAAAAACATCTCAAGAATTGTGCTGTTCCAGCTCATTTTGTGAAGTTTATTTATAAACAAAGTTCGAGAGGATCACGTGCTTATGATTGTTCACAGCTATTCCAACTTTAGCTCATGACCAATTATCCTATCAGAATATCCTTAAATCACTATAAATAACCAGACTTTTCCCATCTCAATATCTTCATCTTGAAGAAACCCCTCCTTTCAAACGTGCCACGCGGTGGCCAGTGATAAGCGCTGTTGCCTCACAGCAAGAATGCCCCTGGTTTAATTCCCTTCCAAACCAGGCAACATTTCTGTGCGCAGTTTTGCTCGTTCTCCCCGTGCTCGTGTGGGTTTTCCCTGGGTCCTCCGGTTTCCTACCACTGTTTAAAAACAAGCACCCTAAACAATTAATCCAAAATATTTTTAGCCAAGCTCTGAGTACATCTTCTCAGCATCCATCTGACACTTAGCTACAATAAGCAGGAGGGGAGTCATCAAGATCTACCTGAGCTCAAACTCCCCTTTCGCAACGGTAGGGAGCCCAGGCCTCGAGGATCTTACAAGCTCAGGGCTCTCTCCCAGGACAGCACGCCAAACAAGCTTTATTATCAATCATCAGCTAAGTGTAAACTCTTAAAAAATAAGTAGTTTAAACAAGCAGCATAATATTTTGAGTATATCACTTACCTATTGTAAAAACAATAAATCAATTTTGCACAAATATCTCAATGATCCCATACAGAGAATGAGTTTGAAAGAAATATGGTTGCATTAGAAAAAAGGATGTCTGCAGAATTGTTGCAAACGATTTAAATGTGTTAAATTTAAACAAACAAATTAAATTTAGTAATGTTCATCTTAATTTGGTTGTTTAAATTCAGCTCAAATAAATAGTTTACAACCACTTAACCTAAAAAAAAATAGTAAATTCAAGGAATCATCTTTAAATGTTTTTTTAGTGTGTGTTTCTGAGAATTTTGTTATAGGTTGTACTCATTTATGCTGGAAAAAATTCTTAAAGCCTTAGTTTTGATGGAAAAAAATTTAATATCTGTGAGAAACTTAGAATTTCACACAGAAACAACAGAACTCTGAGTTTATATCATGTCTGACAAATCTTAAGAAACAGCATTTGAAATAAACATCATTTGGTGAATTAAAAACCAATAATAATTTATGTTTATTATCATCATTATAAATCATTTATTATTGCATTATAATGTATTAAAATACCAAAAGTCATTTAGTTCTACAATTGAGTCAAAGAAGAAGTGAAATTCACCTGAATCATTTTTTAAATAGCCTAATAAAATGTTTCATTTTGGTATGAAAACCAACCATTAGTTTTAAAGAATAATTAAATATAAGAATAGCTGTTGCTGCAGCCACATACCTGCTTTTGCTAATTCAGCAGTAAGACTCACTGAAAAAATAAGCACTGAGTATTAAGGGTGAGCCAAAACATGATGCTGGTCAAACAAATGCTCAAATTTAAATGTCATTAAAATCCAGTACTTACATAATATACACAGATTCGACAGCTGGATCATTGTTTTATGTGTTCTTGCTCATACGGCATTAGAGGTCACAGTATGTCTAAACACACACTCACACACAAACGGGATGCATGACTGCAAATTTTTGCATACAGCTTTTTTTTTCTTGCGTAATGCTTTGAAAGCTCTCTGTATGACTTCTTTCCTCTATCTTATCACTTAAGATGATCTCCCACCTTTATTTGAACTGTTTCTAAATTACTGTGTCTATATACATCATATTTATAAAATACTTCAGCAAGGAATATATAAACTGCTATCAGGTTATGCTATAATGAGACGGTGATACTTCACTTGTGAAACTGTCCAGTTTATACATGGACCATTGAGCAACTGAATGAAAGGAAACAGATGGCAGATCTTCTCACTTGAAGGCTTGAGAAGGCATTTCAAACCACAAACTTGTCATGCAACAAAATAAAGCTTTTAGCCATTCTGTGACTTTGTATTAATTATGTGAATATATTTTTATTTCAAATGGTTATATTTAACAATTTCAATTAATTACTTTTCATATTGCCAATGTGTTGACAGCTTGTAATGAAACCTCAAAACTGAGACCTTCCCTGACTTCCTGATTAAGTAAAGAATGTGATGTTTCTGGACACATCCGCCACACTTTTATTTGATCACACATTAATAAACAATTAAAATAAACTCTTATACATCGTTCAAGATAACACTACTAGATGTTTATATTGGCATATCTGGGTCCATGAAGAATCTTTAATATCCATTAACCATACCACTTCACAAAATTTCTTTCACTGTAAAAAGTGATCAGTTTCAAGTGAGTACATTTGTTGCCTTAAAATAGACAAGATGATCTTATTTGTCAAAAAAGTAAGTAAGCCCATTGTCTCTTG